CAGTCGGATGTCGAGCAGGGCAATTATCCCGAAAGGGTACGCGATGCATTGTAGAGCACGGCATGGCATGGCGTAAAAGAGCACCGCAAAGCGTAGTATGTCACAGCAAGGCGTGGCGGTGCGTAGTGAGGAATTGCATCACAAAGCTTTGCAAAGCAAAGCATGGCATCGCACAGCGGCCCCGAACATAACATTGCATAGCATGGCTTTGAAGATCAAAGCGTAGCATGGCATAGCACGACGTGGCACTTAAGCACTGCATATCACAGCTTCAGCTGAAGGCATGGGGCATCGCGCAGCGGAGCGCAACCTAGCATTGCATTGCATGCCGTGGCATGGCACGGGAAATGACGTCGGCGCTGCAGCGGGAGCACGATTGGGAACGAGCGGAAGCGCGGAAATGAGGCCAGCGCTGCAGCGGGAGCACGATTCGGAACGAGCGGAAGCACGGACATGAGGCCAGCGCTGCAGCGGGAGCACGATTCGGAGCGAGCGGGGCCCGAAAATGAGGCCGGCGCCCCAGCGAAAGCAGCATTTGGAACAAAATGCAGGCGAAAACCCGACTCTGGGGAATCTTGTATGCAAAAAACAGTACGCGGGGGGGGGGGGGGGGGGGGCGAACACTCCCAACCCGTCATCAGGGGAAATATATTGAGCAATTGTGGAGGAGGAGGAGGAGGAGAAGGAGGAGGAAGAGGAGGAGGAGGTGATGGAAGGGGAGGGGGAGGGGGAAGGGAAGATTACCCAAGGCTGTCTGCTCCCGCCCCCCGGCCGAGGAGTACCCTCCGTGGCTCACGGACGCGGTGGCCAGCCCCGAGTCCCCGCGCCCAGCTGGGGCCGCCGCCGCGGCGGAGGGCGGGCCGTCCTGCGAATGCCCGGCGCCGTCCGCAGCAGTTCCAGAGGCTCAGCCAGAGGAGCGCCCGCCGCCGCCGCCCTGCGAGGGTCTCCGCTCGGTGCGATCGAAATACGTCGGATGTTGACAGACCTCCTACCCTGACACGTCTAGTAGCGAATTGGGAAAGCGCGCCAGTGAATGGCCTTGAATACACAAAAGGGGGGGGTGCTCGCAGAACCCCCCCCCCTCTCCCCCTGCAAAGGGGGGGTGAGATTTTCGACCCCCCCCTTCCCCTCCTTGAGGGGGGGGGGGTCCGACCCCCCCCCTTGAAGGGGGGATGGGGTCCGGACCCCCCGCCCGTCCCCCCCTTGGCGCTGGAAAGGGGGGGGGGGTTCGAACCTCCCTCCCCCTCTCCCCGTTTGCGCCGAACTGGGGGCTGGGGAAGGAACCTGTCGGGTAGTGAGTAGGGAGTAGAGCGCTTTGAGTAGCGATTGGTGAGTAGTGGGTATTTGATAGTGAGTAGTGCGCAGTGAGTCGTGAGTGGTGAGTAGTGAGTAGTGGGTAATGGGCAGTGGTAGTAGTGAGTAGCGCGTAGAGATTTGTGAGTTGTGACCAGTGAGTAGTGGGTAGTGAGTAGCGGGAAGGAAGTAGTGAGTAAGGATTTGTGAGAAGCGAGTAGGGAGGAGTGAGTAGCGTGTAGTGAGAAGTGTATAGTGAGTAGTAAGCAGGGCGCAGGGATGAGGGAGTAGACAGTAGCGAATAGCGAGGAGTGAGTAGTGAGTAGTGCGTAGTGCTCAGTGAGTAGAGAGTAGTGAATAGTTTGTGGTGAGTAGCGAGTAGGGAGTAGCGAGTAGGGAATAGCGAGTAGTGAGTAGCGAGTAGGGCGTTGTGAGTAGTGAGTAGCGAGTATGGAGTAGTCAGGAGTCACTAGTGAGTAGGGAGTAGGGAATAGCGCGTAGCGGGTAGGGAGTAACGAGTAGTGAGTAGTGAGTTGTGAGTAGCGAGTAGGGAGTAGGGAGTAGGGAGTAGTGAGTAGTGAGTTGGGAGTAGCGAGTAGGGAGTAGGGAGTAGTGCGTAGTGCGTCGTGGGAGCGTAGTGAGTAGTGGGTAGTGAATAGTGCGTCGTGGGTAGCGAGTAGGGCGTAGGGAGTAGCGAATAGTGAGCAGGGAGTAGTGAGTACTGGGTAGGGAGTAGCGAGTAGCGAAGAGTGGGTAGTGAATAGTGAATTGTGGGCATTGAGCAGTGACGAGTGAAGTGTGAGCAGTGTGTAATGGATAATGGTTAATGGGTAGTGAGTCATGATTTGTGATGAGTGAGTAGTGGGTAGTGAGTTGTTTTTAGTGAGTAGTGAGTATTGAGCAGTGAGTAGTGAATAGCGAGTAGCGAGTAGGGAGTCGAGACTAGTGATTCGTGCGTGGAGGGTAGTGAATCGTGGGTACTGAGTAGTGAGTCGTGAATAGTGAGTAGCGAGTAGTGAGTAGCGAGTGGTGAACTGTGGGTAGTGAGTAGTGCGTAATGAGTAGTGAGTACTTACTGTTTGGGGCCAGGGTTTGGATTTGGGGTTAGGGTCAGGTGCTCGGGTAAGGGTGAGGATTAGTGTTAGGGGTCGTAGGGGGCGGGTTGCGGGGATTGGGGGCGCCGTGGCGAAGGGGGGGGGGTCAAATTTAGCGGCCAAAAGTGGGGAGGGGGGGGTTCGGACCCCCCCTCTCTTTTGAAAGGGATGGGGGAAGCGGGGGGGTTCCCCGACGACGGACCGGGAGGGGGGGGGGTCCCCGACGGCGGATCAGGAAACGGGGGGAGGGGGGGGGTCCCGACGATGGATCGGGGGGGAAAGGAGGGAATGTCCCAACCCCCCCCGCCCCCTTGGGGTCATCCAGCGGCGCGCCCTCGCGAATTGGCCCGTTTTCGGTTCGCAAGAGGGCGTCGCGGTTGTCATTTTTGCGGGTCCAGGTCCGTCGGTTTTGGTCCTAGGCCGTTTTCACGAGAGGGTGGTTTACTAAAGGGAGGTTTGTCCACCGCCGCATAAGTGCCGTTGACCCGCGTAGTGAGGATGAGCAGCTTTCCAGGGTCACACTTGCATCCTTCTCCTACGGCCCGCCGTTGACCGCTTTCGTTGGCCGCGCCCCGCTCGTAAAGTGTCGGTGTGGCCTCCCGGGGCCCTCGTATCCTTACCTTGCTTCCTCATTCTACGGGCTGACGTGGACTGAAAGGGGACAGAATCAGTACAGATCGCCCTGGGGGAAGCGGGTCTCGAGGGAAACGAAACCCGAAGTTTTCCGCAGTCTTCGGGCCCTCGGGGCCCTCCACGGGCCCCGGGGCCGGCGGAAAACGACCCAGGATGACGACCTAGTCCCGGGGGGGAGGCCCCAGGGCCCAGGGCGCGTTTCCCGCAGGAGTCGTGCCCCCCCCCCCCGTGCTGCGTGAAGCCAGGGCCGACAGCGGCTCCCGCCCCTGAACGGGACCCGCTGTGGGTGTCGCCGCGGGCGGTGTCCACTTTGGGCCTGCCTTCCGCGGCCGTTGTCGGCTTTGGACAGCATCTGCCGTTCGGGCATCATACACGCTTGCACGTGCCCACTGCGGGCGTCCAAGCCCGCCCCTGCTCAGAGGAGGAAGATCGGGGGCGTCCAAAAGGGGGAGGGCCGCTGGGGTCGCTAACGGGAGATGCGGGCTCAGCAGCGAATGCTGATGTGGGCTGTGCATCTCTGGCCTGGCCAAGCTTATCTGTGGGTTACAGGTGCCCTACGTAAACGTTTCAGGGTGCTCGATATCTCCGCCAAGTGGTAGGAGCCCACTTCGCCCGGATTGTTAACCCCCTGAACCGCTTAGAACAATCAGAGCACATACGTAGGATAGGCTCGGCCAGATACAACCTACCGTCGCATCCGCTTCGAAGCCCCCTTATTCCCAACGCAACCTCAGCGGTCATCATCTCAGTACGTGTATGTGGCTTGCCGCTGGGCCCTTTACAAATCTCCCTGGATCTCCTGGCCCCCTCTTCTCGTTCCAATGCGGCCTATTCCCCCCCCACCCCCCTCGTCCGCGCACGTGGCCCCAGCCATGATGTTTGCGAGCTATCGCCCTTGCCTCGCTCTCTGGGCCTCCTGGAGAGCGTTTCTTTCTTTCCCTGGCGATGCAGGGCGTGACCCGGGGTGGGGGGGAGCGGAGGGGGCAGGGGGGGGCGTGGCCAGTGAGAGGGACAGAGGGGGCCCGTCACGGGCGCGATCGCGAAGAGGACGAAACCGAAAGGTCCTCTTCGCCACGGCCTGCTGCGCCCCGAGATCCTGGCCAGAGCGCTCCCTGGCGAGGAGGAGGAGGAGGAGGAGGAGGAGGAGGAGGAGGAGGAGGAGGAGGAGGAGGAGGAGGAGGAGGAGGGGGAGGAGGAGGAGGAGGAGAGGGGAGGAGGAGGGGAGGAGGAGGAGGAGGAGGAGGAGGAGGAGGTGGAGGAGGAGGAGGAGGAGGAGGAGGAGGAGGAGGAGGAGGGGGAGGAGGAGGAGGAGGAGGAGGAGGAGGAGGAGGGGAGGGGGAGGAGGAGGAGGAGGAGGAGGAGGAGGAGGAGGAGGAGGAGGAGGAGGAGGAGCAGCCGCAGCAGCGGTGCCTCTTACAGCTTCCCCCCTGGTGCAGGAGAGCCCCCGCCCCTGCCTGCCCTCCGGAGCCCACCTCGACCCGACCGCGGTCTGGTCCGACGTCGGTTCTCGGCCACGCGCACAGGGGGGTATGGGGGAGGGGGCAGGAGGAGGAGGAGGAGGAGGAGGAGGAGGAGGAGGAGGAGGAGGAGGAGGAGGAGGAGGAGGGCTTCTTAGCAGCACCCCTGCTTCCTAGAAGGCGCGGGCCTTGTCTGTAGATGCAGGGCCCGCGCCTTCTGAGGAGCGGTCTCCTCCTGAGAAAACTTCCCCCGTGTTCCGACGGTCCGCGTCTGCCCCACCGATGCCTGCACGGCGCTTTTGTGCATCCTGGCTCAGCCGATCCGATCCGATTCGATCTCGACTCTGTGCCGATGCAGCCCGATGCGACGCGACGCACATTCCATTCGATCCGATCTCCCGATTCAACGGTAACTGATCTTGCTTTCAGGCCCTACTCCTCCAGCTGCCACATGCGACGGTTTCTTCGCGAACCTCATTCCAGCCAGGTGAGCACCGTCACCACGGTGCATGGGCCCAGGCCCCCCCGCGTTGACCCTCACTCGAGTTTCCTGCTCCCGCGGATCTGCGCGCTTCGCTTCGCTCCGACGCAACGTTGAGGGGGGGAGGCGCACGGGGTGATGGACCAATTTCGCACCACCGCTACCATATGTAGGACGGGGGAGGAGGGAGGATGGGGAGGTTCTCCTCCTCATCCCCCTCCTCCTTTTCTTCCTTTTCCTCCTCCTCCTTCTCCTCCTCCCTCTCCTACCTATGGTAGTGGAGGTGGAGAATCGGCCCATCATGGGGGGCATGCATCGACCCCAATGGCCCACTCATCGACGACGGAAGCACGACGGCCTCGCCCCGCCCAGGACAGTACGGCTTCGCTGTCGGGGGCCCATCGCCGATCCATCGGCGATGTGTCGCCGATTCCAGCTCGATTTCCGCTTCCCCCCGGGAACCGTTCCCTTGTTGGCTGTCGGATCCTAACATTAAGTCGGACATGTTTCTCCACATGAGGAATATTCAACGATTGTCAAACATAGTCTGGGGACGCTTTTCCGTGCTCTTCTGACTGTTTTTGAATATGTTTTGACTTTCTGAATTTTTCCACAATCCCCCTGTAGGAGGACATGCCCGACCTCATGTTGGTTTTCGGATCCTCATACGGGTCTCCGGCGGCCGTTCGGGACGACCCGGCAGCCCCCTGGCAGCTCCTCGGCGAGGCGCAGCCGCTGGAAGGCACCCCGAGGCTGGAAAGCCGCCGAGAACCGACAAAACTGCCTGGAGATTTCGAATTTGGATTCCGAGAACGTCTTCCTCCCTGAGCCGGTCCCCCCTCATTCGAGCATTGGGGGATCGACGACAGAATTGATTTGCTCCAGAATGGATTTGTCCGTCGTATCTGCGAACGTACGCAGGAAGTGCTGTGGATCTACGGAGCAGTCCACGCATTTTTCGACGGCGTAACCAGTTCTGGGGCACCTGAATTCTGCGATTCGCCACCAACCCAAACGCCCCAACCCGTCCCGAAGGCTCCCATTTGCCTTTCATTACCAGCGGGGTGGCCAGTTTCCCCCAAAATTAACGGGCGAAGAACGGTATAAAATAAACTTTTTCGCTGTCGGGGGCGCCTGTCCCTGGGCGGCTGGAAAGTTTATACCCCTACGGTGCCACCGTAAGGGTATAAACTTTCCAGCCGCCCTGGGACAGGCGCCCCCGACAGCGAAAAAGTTTATTTTATACCGTTCTTCGCCCGTTAAAAAGTTTATTTTATACGTATAAAATAAACTTTTTCGCTGTCGGGGGCGCCTGTCCCTGGGCGGCTGGAAAGTTTATACCCCTACGGTGCCACCGTAAGGGTATAAACTTTCCAGCCGCCCTGGGACAGGCGCCCCCGACAGCCAAAAAGTTTATTTTATACCTTTCTTCGTCCGTTAACAAAACCCGTTCCCCCCCCCCCAAACCCCACTCCGACATTCGGGCCCTCGGGCGAGGTTGGGGTGGTCTGGCAGGTTGGCAGTGGCCGGTCCCCTGCTCGACCCGTCTCGTTGCTCCCCCCTGAAGCAGTGGCGAAGCGTCCTGGCGTACCATTATAGGCCTACCAAACAGTGTTCTAAGATCCTCTTGAGGTTTCCACGGCATGTTGTCAGAACGTTTCCGGCTGGGGCTGTCTTGTTTCGGCACGTCGAAGCTATGTTCTAAGAACCTTGGTTCTAAGAACAGCTCTGGGTTCTTAGAACAGCTCTGGGTTCTAAGAACATGTTCTGGTGCAGGGGAGTTTTTAATACACATTTTTTTAGATAACGGATTTTTGCTACATGATTAATGTATTCATAATTTTATGCATGAGGTCATCGCTGTTTTTATTCAATCTTAAATCCCTGCATGTTTAACACATGATCCGCACGCGGAGCACGTATTCAAAGCGGCACTGTAGGCCTGTCGGAGTGCATGGGGCGGTCGGCCCCTGCTCAGCCCTCGGCGCTCCGCTCCGCTCCGCGCCCTGGTCGGCCGCCAGGACGCGCCGTCGCCCCGGTCGGCCGCGGCTGCCAGCGGCGGTGGGGGGCGGAAAAGAGGGGGGTGATGACCAGGTGGGGGTGGATATCATGGCGGTGGTCATGATATTTCCCCAGATTTCATGGCGCCCCTTCCTATTTCATTACGTCCCTGGCCCCCCCGCCGGGCCGCGCACATGCCGCCGGTCATGATTTGCACCCCCCCTTTTGGACACCCCCCACTTGGCCGCTCCCGAGGCGGAGCCGCGCCCGAGCGGCCGCGCACGCCGCGGACGCGGCCGCACTGGCGCGGCCCCGCGGGCGCGGGCGAGGAGCAGCCGCCAGCGTGCGCGGGCAGCTGCGGGTCCGCAGGCCGCGGGCCCAGGTGCAAGTCGGGCCCGTCCCTCTGCAGGAGGGATATGCAGAAACAGCCAAAACATAGTCTGGGGATTATTGTTTTTTAACTACTCTTAGTCTTAGACATTCGGGGATCTATACATCTATATATACATATGTATACCGATAAGTATCTAAATTTGTTCGCCCAAAATCCGCCTGTAGGGGAACAGGTCCGACCTAAGCCCAGGTCGAAGGGGCCCTCGCCTGAGGTCCTGGCGGGTCTGCAGGCCGCAGTCGGGTATAGCCAGGACCCTAAATCGGCCAGAATCACTAAACCGGGTCCTCCGTAGCCTGTGCTTTTTCGGGTGACGGCCGTTCCCGGTGGTGGAACGGGGAAGGGGGGGGCGTCCCCCAGTACACATCATTAAACCAGGTCCCACTAAACCCAGTTCTGCCAACGCCCGACGCAGGCCCAGGTCGAATGGGCCCTCGCCTGAGGTCCTGGCGGCCCCATTTTGTCGAGCCGGGCGTTCTCGCTGACAGATGGGGCCCCTGGGCCCTTGCAGATCGCTTCGGCTCGACAACGAGGCAGAAAGATCGGGTCGGGGGGTCTGGTCGTGTTTTTTTTTGCGATGCAGCATATCTATATCTATATATATAATACCTATACGACCACCCTTCGGGAGATAAGGAGGTTCGGGGGGGGAGGAACCAACGTCTCACTCGATCGGTCTCACTATCGATCTCACTATCGATCTCAGTATCGGTCTCGCTCGATCGATCTCCCTCGATCGATCTCACAATCGATCTCACAATCGATCTCACTCGATCTATCTCACACTCGATCTCACTCGATCATCATCATCATCATCATCATCATCATCATCGTCCTCATCATCATCAGCATCATCATCATCAGCAGCATCACCATCATCATCATCATCATCAGCATCAACATCAGCATCAGCATCATCAGCAGCATCATCATCAGCATCACCATCATCATCACCATCATCATCATCATCATCATCATCATCATCATCATCATCACCACCATCATCATCATCATCATCATCATCATCATCATCATCATCTCATCATCAACATCATCATCATCATCATCATCATCATCATCATCGCGGGGCACCGCGGGACACCGGCGGGACACCGCGGGGCACCGCGGGACACCGCGGGACACCGCGGGACACCGGCGGGACACCCCCGGCACCTGCCGCCCGGAAGGGAGACATTTGGTCCGGCCGCGCCTCAGCCACACGGGACACCACCGGCGGGACACCGCGGGCCACAGGCCGCCCGGAAGGGAGACATTTGGTCCGGCCGCGCCTCAGCTACAGGAGACTTTCTTCTCGCCCGCCCACGCAGCTTCGTCTCGCCCGCACGCACGGCACGCACGAACACGAAACCGAAATCGACTTCCCGGTAGGGGGGCTCTCCGTTCCACTTCGATCTCACCCCCTCACCTCCGACATATATATATATATATATATATATGCATATATATATATATATACATGTATATGTATGTCTATATATATTTATGCACATATACATACACATATATATATATATATATACATACACATACATATATCCTCTTGCTATATTTTTCTAAGCCCGGGCGGGGGGAACCCCCCCCAAACCGGACTCCCGGGATCTGGGGCTTTGGGACCCTCCGGACGGGCCTCGAAGCGGCCCCCCGGGCCTCGCAGGGCGTTTTGCCAAGCCTTCCCAGCACACCTAGGGCGATCAGGGGGGTCATCGGAGACGTCCCAGAGACCCCCAGGACAGCACAAGAGCGCTCCAAGAGTGACCGACCTCAAGATGGCCCAAGAGGCCTCCTGGACGGCCCCAAAGAGGCCTCCAAGAGCACTCCCAAGAAGACCCCAAGAGGCAAAAGTCATTTGTTTTCTGTTGGTTTCTGGTGCATTTTGGGGTTCTCCTCTGTTCGGCTTCCCGACGCTCCAAGACGGCGGTCTTCTGGGCGTCCGAAGCCGCCTGGGAGGCTCCAAAATCGCCCCACAACCATCCGAAAGGGCTTCCAGGCAGTCCAAGAGAGCCCCAAAACGGCACAACAAATGTCCAAGATGGCCCTCAGAGAGCCCCATAGCGGCCCCAGATGGCCCCAATACACCCTCTGAAGCATTCCAAATCGTGACCTGGTCGTTCAGGGAGACCGCGGTTGGAGGCAGGGTGGCCCGAGGAAGCCCCCAGAGGCCCCCAGAATACGCCCAGGAGGCCTCCAGAAGGCCTTAAGAAAGCCTGAAACAAGGAACTCTCCAAGGAGGAGCCTTGGCAAAACAAAACTGAGGAGGATGGGGAGAATGCGCAGGGTATGGCGACAATGAGGAAAAAGAAGCATGGAGGAAGGACAACGACTAACATTATTATAGCGGCGATGCCAGAAAAGGCAACAAGGAGTTATCGCTAAATTGTCGGCTTGCTTGACCTTCCTGCTATTCCGCCTGCATACCAACCTTCACGGACCAAGGTGCATGGCGCGAAGCGCCACTGCAGTCTTGTATATATGTATATCTATATAGATATAATATAGATCACATGTATATATATGTGTGTGTATGTATAGATATACGGATATATACTGCAATTTTGGATCTCAGGGTTCGCGTGGCGGCTCTCTGGCCGCCAGCTCGCAGAAATCCCGGGTCGGGTGAGTGAAGGGGGGCGACAGGAAGAAGGTGCGCGGGGGCGCACGAAACTTGCCGCCTGCAGCCAGCTCCGACCCCGCCGCTGGGCGCCGTCCTCGAGCTCGGGCGCTTCCGGCGCCGTTGGGCGCCGGGGAAGCCAGAGCTGGCTCGCCAGGCCCCCCTTTTCACTGCCCCTCTCGTCCGACCCTGCCACCGGGCCGGCGGCGAGGAGAAGCGAACGGGGTTCAGGCGACGGGGGTCACTGCAAACGGGGGTCGGTCAGAGCTCTGGATCTTGGCAGGATCCTGCAGGGCCAGGGCCGCACCGACCGGGGCTTGGGCGCAGGACCCTGCAGGGTCCTGCAGGAGTCTCATCCGGATCTCGCGAAACCCGACTGACCCAGGTTTGGATTGACCTGGGTCAGCAGGTCCCCGAAGCTGACTCGCGACCCCCCACTTTCACTGCCTCCCCACTTTCACTGCCTCCCCCTCTCGTCCGACCCGAAAATTGGGCCGGCGGCGAGGAGAAGCGAATGCCTGAGGGTTACCAGTTTGAAACATATCCCTATCCCTGTGTCTGGCATCACCTCACCTCGATGCTGATCTCAAGGGTTCCCTCAGTTTCTGAGGGCACATCCCTAAGATCGTTTTCCCTTTTCGCTCGCCCATCCTAGGGATGGGGATCAGTTCGAGGCCGGTTCGAGGAGCAACTGGGGAGAAGATGGAGGGGACGACAGCACGGCGTGGACGCGGTGCTGGCCGTGGAGGGGGCGCGCCCTCTTTGCCCTTCCCCCCCTTGGCGCGGCCTCCTCGTGCGACCATGATGAGCCTGTTTTCCACCACCACCACCACCACCATAAGTTGGAGGGGGGGAGGAGGAGGAGGAGGAGGAGGAGGAGGAGGAGGAGGAGGAGGAGGAGGAGGAGGAGGCGGGCGATGGCCCGCCGACGCGGAGAAGCTGCGAGAGGTTCGTCTCCGAGGCCTTGCGCCCGGTGCCCGCGGGCTCCCGGGGGGGGGGGTGGAGCCTGCGCTCTGCCGGGGGCCCCTGCAGGCCACAGCCAGGGATCCGGAGGGGAAAAAACACACGCAGGCACAAATTCAGGGTCGATCCCCCGGAAAATATGGAAAACTATGGGACTTGGGCGGGAACCAAGAGACCCCCAAGAGGCCCCCAAGACGCCCCAAGAGGCGCCTAAGAGGCCCAAAAGAGGCCCCAAGAGGCCCCAAAACGGCCCCCAAGAGGCCCCCAAACTCGGCTAGCCCACAACGGTGCGACAATATGGGCCGGCGGAATGAGCGAAGCGATTAAATATGGAAAAATATAGGATTTGGGCGGGAAGACGAAAGCCCAGAAAATCTGGGAAAATATGGGGAATGTCTTTATGTGTGTGTATTTGTTGTTTGTGTGTCCTCTGGGGCCCCTTCCATGGAGGAGAGGAGCCCTGCCCCCCTGGCACGCGCCATGGGGTGCTCCTCGGCCCCGGAGGCCCGCCCCGCAAGCCTCGGCATCGCTCGGACGTGTGCATTTTTTTTTTTCCCTCGGCGAGGATCGCTGTGGAGCATCCTGGTTCGTTTCCGGAAAAGGACACACGGGAAACGGACGTCCGAGCGATGGCGAGAAGCAGTTTTCGCCACCGCCATGCCTGGCAAGGGACGTTCCGGGCCCCAGGGGCGTTTTGGACCTTGTTTTACTTCGCCGCCCTTCCGCCGCCTTCCGCCGAGGATGAGTTGGCAACTCCTCTTGTCCTCGAAGGCAAGGCCCTGTCTCGATTGCAGCGCAACCCGACGGCAGCGCTGCCCTTCCACCTTTTCCCTTCGGCGCATCCTTGGCATCTTTCGCTGGCCGCTGGCTCGCAAATTGTCGACGTGGTCTTCAAGGCGCTTGCATCCTCATCGTGCGTCCTTGTTTCGGCGGCACCCCAACATGCTACTACTATACGTGCGTCGCCCCCTCAGGGGCGACGCGCGCCTCGAGATGTTTAATATACTCGTCGTGGTGGGCGTTTTCTGGCCACGCCGCTCGGGAAACGATCTGCTGCAGGATGGGTGTACTATTTATGTTCGGGTCGGATTCGTGCCTCCAAGGAGGGTGCATCGTACGAGTATGTTTTTGTGCGTCTCGCACGGGTCGACTGTAGTTAGTGCAGCCTTTAGGGCCGAGTGCCCGTGGCACCGTTCTGTGGCCTCCACACGAAGGCGGAGGAGGCGCGGCGGCGCGGAGCCGCGCCGCGCCGCCAGACCGCTTCTCCGCCCTCGGCGACGTCGACGGCGCGCTGCAGGAGCTCGGCTACGCTTGAGTCGGGCATGTCCCTCTACAGGAAGGAAATTCAAGAGTCATAGAAAAATAGTAGGGGGACGTTTTTCGTGCTCTTTTGACTGCTTTTGAGCTTTTTGTTGACAGCTATTTTTTGATGTGTCTTCCAAGGTCCCCCTGTAGGAGGACATGGCCGACCTCAGGCTACGCGCGTGACCCAGACCCCTTCTGATCATGAAGGAATCACGACGGGAGGCTTTTCGCTATTTTCGGCTTCTGGGGGCGAACGGGACTTCGGGGCCGTCGTAAACGGCTCGAGTTGAAAAACTAGTCCCTAGGAAGGGGTCCAGACCTTTCGGGGTCGACGTTGTGAAACAATACCGCACGACGTGGGGCGTCCGTGGATTTTTTTGTACCCTCAGGGCCATATGACGGGCGTTAGGCCCTCCCCTCCCCCCCCCTCACCCCCCTCCCTTGACGTAGCGCTCCCTCCCCCAGAACTCCCCGGCACTGCCGCAGAGCGCCGGCCTGATCCACACGGCGGGGGGGGGCGTTGCGACATGCCCTCCGCCCGACCCCCCCCATAACGCCCGTTATCGCCGCGAGTGACCCTTCGCCAGAGTGGCCCTTCGCCAGAGTGGCCCTTCGCCAGAGTGGCTTCCCGTGCGGGCCCACTGGGGCCCCCCCGTCGCTGAGTGCGATTCAGCGCAGGGCCGCTTGAGACACCGGTAATTGGCCTGCGGGGGGGGGGCCCTCGTCGCCGCGGCTGGACGCAGCTCGGGACACTGGTTCGCTTGGGCCCTGGGTGGGGTCTGGGGACCGGTCTCGAGAGCCGACTTCGGGCTTCCAGTGTCTCAGCTCTCCCTGCCCCGAGCGACGCGACAGCAGCGGCCTGCGTGCTCGGATTCGGGCCCCCCTGCGCCGCCCTGGAGCTGCGCACCAGAGGTCACTGCTGCACAGGGTCGACGGCGAGCGAGGGGGGGGGGGGCGAGAAGGAGAGGGCCTCCTGAGAGAGTTCGGAAGTCCCCCGGCCTCCTGAGGAATCTCCTAGACAAAGCTTGCCCTCAGTAAGACAGAAAGAACCTCGCAGAAGGCGCGAGGGCTCCTGAGGCGCCCCGCAGCCTTCTGGGAAGGCCTCCTCCTCCTCACTCCCGCCCCTCGCTCGCCGCCGATAGGGTCGCTCGCTACCTGCCGCCCAGGAGTACGAGCGGCCCGCCGAGTTCGGCGAGCTGCTGCAGGCATTCCACGAGGGGGCGCGGGCGTGGGCGCCGCAGCGCCCGCCGGGCGCCGCGCCGGGCGCCGTGGAGGCGGGCCGGCGGGGATCGGGCGCCCCCCGACGGCGTATAGTGACCACACCGCGTGGCGAGTCCCCAGACCTCTTCGAGTCGTGAACAACATCGGGGGTGGACAGAACCCCCAACAGTGACACGTCGATCAGTGAATTGTCCGTTTTCGGTCTTCGTGAGGGCGCCGTGGCCGTTATTTTCCAGGCTTGCTCCCGCCAGGCTTGGGCCCGAAGTCGTTTTCACTAAACCACGTTATACTAAAGGGAGGTCTGTCCATCCCCGACAAAAACCATGACGCGAGGTTGTTTCTATTCCATATCTTCGGCCTCCGGGGGCCCATGCCGGGCCCCAGGACCGTCGAAGAGCGACTCGGGAGGAAGAACCGGTCCCTGGGAGTGGGTCCAGACCTTTGGGGGTCGACGTAATACAAGAATGGTCTTGCCACGAACCCCGACCTTGGAGAACAAGCGGGCGTGACTGGCGAGGAGGAGAACAGCCAAAAAGAGGATGCCTGTAGGGCGCATAATGCTGATTCCCATGTTGACCGTTGGACGCTGTGCCGCGTTTGACGCTGTGCCACTTTGTCGGGGCGTCTCTGACCATCCTGGAGCCCTGTTGGGCAGTCTTCGGGCCCTGGGGCGTCTCCGGCCATCTCGGGGCCCTCTTAGGAAGTCCTGGGTCCCTCTTGGGGGCCTCTGGGGGTTTTCTGGAAACCTCCTGGAAGCTCGTCGACGTAATGAGGGAATCACGACGTCGGGGGTTGGGTCCGTGGGGATGCTGGGTCACCGCGCGGTAGTTGGGCTCGAGGGGTTCTCTGAGGACGTCTCGGGCGACCGGGGGCCTCCGGGGTCCCAGAGGCGTGCGGTGACGGGCCGCGCGGTGAGGTCGTTGGGGCCCTCGAGGTCACCACGCCGTCCGTCACCACGCGGCCTTGAAGCCCCGGATCGGCGTCTTAGGTGTGGTCGGCCCTGCCCGCGCGAGAATGCCGGTGGCAGGGCTCTCAAGGGGGGGGGGACGCATCGACCCCCAATCGCCCAGTCATCGTCGGTATAGTCGGGCGACGAAATCTATACATATTCACTGCTCCCTGACCATGCCCATCTTGAACCCAGGAGCTGTGTATGCGCCCTCCTGGCCAAGCCAGGAGGGCGTGGCGTATACACCGCTGCGGGGTTGAGGATGGGCCTGGCCAGGGAGCAGTGGATATGTATAGATTTCGTCGCCCTATATAGGGGCCCGAGAGCTCGCCCCGTCCGGGAGTCCGCGGTTCCGCTGTCGGGGGGCCTGTCGCCTTGTCGCCTATCGGCGAGGTGCCGCTGGGCCGATCCGAGCTCGATGATTTTTCTCCCTGAGCCGGTCCAGTAAGTGGACCATATGGTCAAAGCATTGCACACTCGAGGGGAATTCTGATGACCCCCGCCCACGACATCGAGGTTGAGTTCAGTATGTCACCACCTACCAAACCACCCCAACCAAACCCGAAGGCCCAAATTTATCCTCGATTTCCAGTGGGGGGGGGTCGGGGAACGTTGAAAGATCACATGGAATCCGTACCCCCCCCCCCAACCCGAAATTCGGGTCAAATTCGGGTCTTCGGGTTGGGTTGGGGTGGTCTGGTAGGTAGTCACATATGGTCAAAGCATTGCACACTCGAGGGGAATTCTGATGACCCCCGCCCACGACGTCGAGGTTGAGTTCAGTATGCGTCAAGACGAAATACCTCGGTCCACTCAGGCCCGTGCTGCTCCCAGTGGTGATGCTGGGGGGGCTGGGGCGGGCAGCTTGCGCCGCAGAGGTCGTCGAACTTCTGGTCCATGCGCGCCCCCCCCCCCTCTTGGCATCGCTCGGACGTGTGCATTTTTCCCTCGGCGAGGGCCATCGAGGAGCATCCTTGATCATTTGGCGAAAAAACCACGCACGAAACTAAAGATCAACAGGGAATGGACGTCCGAGCGATGGCCACCCCTCGCTCCCCGTCAGAATGACCATCGCTCCTATCGTCCCCCCTGTCGTCCTTCCTGAGAAGGGGCAGCCATCCGTCCCGGGGCGGCGGGACGTGCTGCATCTTGACGGCCCAGCGTCTCGGGAGTGGACAGGCCTCCTACCCTGACACGTCGATGAAGGAATTGGCCGTTTTCGGTTCGCGGGAGGGCGCCGCGGCCGTCAGTTTTGCGGGTCCAGGTCCGTCGGTGTCGGTCCCAGGCCCTTTTCACTAAGGGGAGGTTTACTGAAGGGGGGTTTGTCCACCGCCGAGTTTCCGTGCGGTGCTCGCAGCGGGAGCTCGCGCCAGATGTCACATCGGGTCGCGTCCTTCCCCCGACGGCCCCGCCAGGCCAGCCTCAGGTCCCCCGAGCGCGAGCCTGGAGCCGCCCGAGTCCTGGGAGAGCCCCCCTTTGCAAGCAGCTCCCGACCCGAGGAGGCAGGCTCCGGCCGCCGGGCAGCTGCAGCTCCTGTCTGGGCATCTGGGTCCCGAGGGCCACCTGTCGACAGCCCCCGAACCTGCAGTCGACCCTTCTCAGGAGTATGCGCGATGAGGATGCAGGGGCCTGGGGCGCCCATTTGGGAGCTTTTCGAGCGGAGCGCGGCCAACGAAAGGGGTCAAGGATGGGCCGAGGAGGGACGGATGCAAGGGTGCCCTCGGGAACGTGGCCCATGCTTCCTATGCGGGTTGACTGTTGTGAAGGTCTCACTCCTGAAGCTTGGCGATGGCCGTTGCTCTGTCTGCCCTGGCGCGGCTTCGGGGCCGCAGCTCGCTTTGCACAGGAGGCCGATCGTAGCGTCAGAGCCGCCGTTCGGGTCGGGGGTCGTTTAAGCGGCTCGCCCGGACGAGGCTTTCAACAGCTGCGTGCAAGGTCATCGTGCTTCAGGGCCTTCGAGGAGGCGATCGCGGAGGGGGCGGGGGCGTGCTGATCTACCTACTGCCGGGACAGACGACCGGCGTACTTAATTCCTCAAGGCGCTTGGCCTTCCTGCGAGCCGCGCGGGCTCTTTGTGTCGGCGCCGCCCCTGGCGCGCTCTGCGCGCGCCAGGGAGGTGAAGAGCAGCGACGACCCAAGAAGTCCCCGCGGGCATTCGGAACAAGGAGAGGCGACACCAACACCAGCATGGGTAAGTGAGACGAGGAGCAATGGGGGAGTCTCCCTGGTGGTATGGTCCCCCCCTCTCGCTCAAGACATCCCCAGCCTCCAGCTCGGGGAGGCATCGTGGAACTCCCTGGAGGTGGCCCCGCTGGTGGTGTTGGTGTCGCTTCTCCTCCCTCCGAGGCATCCACAAGGTCATGCTTCGCTGTTGCGTTCTTCCCAGATGTGAGATGAGCGACCGAGGCGGCGCCAGGGGGGCCCAGTAGTGCCGATCCAGAAAATCCACTTGGTTGTCCGAAGATGGTATAGGTTTGTGCCACATCCGCCGACCCCGTGAACTGGGTCGTTCGTTTGCCAAGTTTTGCGCGGAGTGCTTCGTCCCCTGGGGAAAGGGGGGCGCCCACAGATCTCCCGCGCCCTCTTGTTGCAGGTACCTCGGTGGGGGAGAGCGTGGATTGTGAACAGTGGAAACCGACCCCAGCCCCCACAACTATGGATTTTACATGTCAGCGTTTTGCATGTATCGCCTTGTCGGCGAGGCCATTGCCAGCTGCCGCGGGGGGGGCCCGCGCACGCGGCGACGTCCTGGGCCCACTCGACGCGGCCGCGCCTGCGCCGGCATTCCCAGGGCCGTGCGTGCCACGGCCGCGGCATGCAGGCTGAGGCGACGCTGGCGCTGTCCCTCGCACGGCAGCGCCGCTGGCCCAGTCGACGGCCCCCGCCCCCGCCTCCGTCACCCCCTCGTAACCCGCCGACGGAAAAGTTCAGATCGGGAGCGTATCTTTCGAGGTAGCTGAAGTTATGCTGGCGCTTATATAAGCAATTTTCTGTTTATGCACACTTTGTGGGGGCTCTGCCGCGCGAGATTTTTCGTTTCGGAGAAATTGGCTGTTGTTTCTTATATAAAAAGCCAGAAACTTATATGCCTAACGTTAATTTCGGGATGGATCTAAATTTTTTGATGTGCGCCCGTGCGGGGCGGGCCCCGGGCGCCGTCCCAGGCTCTTCCCAGCGCCGCTAACGGCCGACGCGCCCTTTGGTTTTTTGCCCTGGCGCGAGCGCGCGAACATCCACAATGACATTGAGCGTTGACCGTGTGCCAACACAAGGTAACGCCAATTTCAAACGCCAATGGGCATAGCAGGAAGGCGCCGTTCGCATTGAATTGCGCGGCGTTGTCGTTGGATGACCGTCGAGCTGTTTCCGCTTGCAGTTCGCGCGTCGTTTGGCGGTCCCATTCGTCTAACGTTCCTCATGTGGGGGTGGCGCAAAACCTGAAGAACCAGGGCAACGGAAACGACATGGGGGCATGCGAAGGAAGGGGGGACGAGGAGGATCCGACATCAATTCGGCCCACGTGTTGCAGGAAGTGCAGCCACGCGAAAACGAAGCTGATGTCGCGCGGCACTAACGCAACGTAGGGCGAAAACGTCGGCAGAGTGTGCTGTTCGAGCGACAAGTGCTTGGCGTTTTTTTTCGAAGCGAGGGTGGCAATTTCGGGTGCGCAGAATCGCCGCGCAGCAAGAGACAGGCTCTGTCGAAGATGCGCGGAGGAGCGTCAGAAGTCCACGCTGGCGTCGAACAGTCGCAAGCGAAAAGCAGAGGCACAGGCGGAGCCGTTAAAATGCTGGGCGCCAGGGTGCGGGGCGACGTTCTGGGACACGGGCCATTTGAACCCCAAACAATGCAAACGCATCGTGGGAGCAGAGGAGAGAGAGTAATGTGTAGGCCATGTGAGAAGACAAACATTTTCGCGAAGTGAGTTGCCGATGCGGCGAAGAGATTGGAAAGACAGTTGACGCGCGCTGCGTGCAGTGGGAAGTCACCGCGGCAGGGCCACATCGGCAGTGTGCGGGAGACGGAGCACGTGACGACGGGAAGGAACGTAGTATGCGCAATTGGCACGCGTACGGGTGCTTGGGCACCTGCTAGAGGAACTTC